GTTCTTCCTCCAGGTGAGGCCGGGGGAATTTTCAAGAACAAAACAGGAATTCAACTTATTTAACTCCAGGTAAACAGGAGCAGTCATCACGCTGCTTCATTTAGATTAATGTTGTTATTGTCTGACTAGACAGTAGAGAAATGAAACCAATATTAAATGTAATTGGTTTGATTGTAATTTGTTTATTTCAGTGAATAAAACATGATTCAAAAAGGAAGAACTGGAAGCATTCAGGCTGCTTTACTGTGTTCCAGTTGAAACGACTGCTCTTTATTTCCTCTAACTAAAAACCAGTTTTCTGTTTTATCAGATCTTTGCTGGCTCCTTTGTGTTTTATTTCTTTTCATGTTTGAGTTTCAGGAAGTTTTTCTTCAGTCCTGGTTTCTTCGGTTCTCTTCCCTCCAGCTGTTCCTCGTTGCTCAGAAACCTGTGAACTCGTCTCCCTTTCCTCTCCCTCAACAACTTTAAACTTTTTACCAAACTGGTTTTCATAAAACTCCTGCTTGTGTTTTGGTCTCTGAGGCCCACATGACAGTTTGGTGGAGAAGAGATAAAATTTGAACATTAAACTGTTAGATATTCTGAACAAACTGGATTCATCCGGATGATTTGAACCTTTATAACGTGATGTTATTAACATTGTTAACATCATTGTTAACTTGTGTCTGTTAACCAGAAATGTGTTAACAGACGATGGAGATCCAGAATTTAAATCCTTGTGAGCAAAAATGAATACATGAATAAAATCAAAGCTTAAATGAAGTTTGGAGATCTGAGCTTTGGGTTTAAATCCCCTCAGATTCGCTCTGACTTGTTTAAAACGCTTTGGACTCTCAGGTCTGGACTCTCAGGTCTGGACTCTGCAGAGTGAAGCTGGAAGCTTCCATGCTGGTTTGTGGCTGCGATCACAGGGTTGAACTGGTTTTACTGGTTTCAGCTGGTGAACAGCCTGTTGTCACCTCATTGTTTAGTGTTTCAGGTATTTTTGCATCTAAAATGTCGTGGAACAAGATTTCCCAGAATCCACTCTGTCGCTGAGACATGTTCAGGTCCAACATCGCATGATATCAACAGCTGGCTGCTTCTCCTCACTATTATCGGACATAAAATAAAAAGTTATTTTAATAATCTGTGAAGAATTCTGGTAAAGAAACGACGGTTTAAAAACTGAGAAGAACTGGGGCCAGTTTGGGTTTGTGTGTTTGGGAAACATTTTGCTTTATTTCTGCACTGCTTGGTTGTTGCTTTGTTCTCTTTTTACTGCGCCAACAAGGTCAAAGTTCACAGGAAGGAGAAAGCATGGAGGCTTTCAGGTTCAGAACAATCCCGCTAATGGACCAATTAAAGTTTTGCAGCCTTTCACACCTCAGACACGAGATTAAAACATATTATTAGAAAGGCGTTGACATCATCAACACTGAGCTGAATGGAGGGAAGGGCCGCTGACGCACCGACCTGGCTGCTCATCAGAGGCCAACAGTCTGACTGCAGGTCGCCACCTGCTGCAGCCAACCCGACCTGACCGGACTCAGGCCGTGGAGCCACTAGAGGCCTCGGGTCTGCGGGTTTGAGGGAAGAACCGGGTCCAGTGGTTCGGACACAAACGGTGAAACAGCTTTAAGAAGCAAACAGGAAATGTGGTAGATTTCCAGAGTCTGTTAAAAACGGAGACGTTTTGCTTCGATCCAATGACGGCCAACTGGAGGCGGCTTCAGGAACGAATCTAAAGGCGAGTCCAGAACCGTTCGGATCATCGCTGACCTGCGGTCCAACTCCTCCTGAACCCGTCTGACAAACCAGTTGGTGCACAAACCTGTTGATCCAGAACCAGCAGTCTGAGAAGGACACAGACTATGCCAAGAATCATCCCCACCCGTAACCTTTAACCTTTGCTCCTTAAATCGGGCCACCAGGAACCTCCCAGCTCTTAAGCGACAAACCCGGCAAGGAGAGTTAAGACGTTGGTCTGGTTTCCCTCTCTGGTTCGGACTTGATGGTCCCAGTGTTTGGACCATCAGGATCTAACAACATGCTAACAGCAGCAGGGAACAACTTCCTTCTGCTGGCCTTCAGAGGACGGCGATCGTCTCACCGTGTGAAGCAGGTTGAAACTGCTCCCTCCTAGTTTCACTAATTATTTTCTCTCTGGCTCAGCGATCAACAGAAAAGGAGGATTATTTGTGGATGGAGAAGATTTTCCAGCTGTTTCTAACGTCTGGACCGTTTTTTGTAGAAGGTCCCGTATCCTGCCTTCTTTAGGGTTATCTCACGGTGAAGAGTGAAGGTAGAACAATGTTATGAGGAAGGGTCCTTTCAGCAAACCGCTGCCAAATACTAAACCACACTAAGCATTTCTGTGGTTTTTATTTCTACTTCCTTTATTTAAATTACTTGCACCTGTTGCTTCCACAATGTTGGTGCACTCAGTTGTTATGTAGAAAGTAATTCTGGTTTCTGAACTGCTTTAAGCAAACGGCGGTGGAAACCGACTGGCTAGCCGCTAAAGCCCCTTTTGCACTGCACAGCTGGACCCGGGCCGATCGTTTTTGCATTAACACTTCCAGCCCGGTACCGCTGGGCTCCCTGGAACCCCGAGAGCTGCGGTTCCAACCGGGCCGGTGTTCTGTCAGATCAGCATACGTTGTCAGATAGTCATATGGCTATCTGATAGAACAAAGGCAATAGAAACAAAGAAAGAAGTAAATCTGCCATTTATCTAAGAAAAAGAAAATAAAATTAATTTTTAGGTCCCCCCCACTAATGTTAGAACAATGGTTCAGTCCAAAGTGTAGCAGGAGCAACAGTAATGAGATGGGATTTACGCCCTTGGGTTTACGTGACGTATCCTGCTGAATGCAAAACGACCAGGGCCATAGCACCAATAGGACCGGGTCGAACCGAGCCGGGCCGGACCCTGCAGTGCAAAAAGGGCTTAACTGTGTGCTACTGGTAGCTGAAACCCTCCTGGGCCCGGTGGGTCCTCAGAGTCTGACGCCAACCTTCATTCTCAGATTAACTTTTGAAAGCTGACGGATTCCTGCCTGGAATAATCCTGAATTCAGGTTTGAAAATTAAACTCTTGGTTTTTGCTTTACGTGTTTTTAATTCCATTAAAGTTGTTCACTTTTAAACTGCCATCATCAGATAAATTCTTCCTAAATCTCTGATTTGAGGAGTTTAAAATAAGCTGGTTAAAGTTCATTTTGTTATTTTAACATTTTGTTGTGATGATAATTATACTTTTAGGTTCTCTTGTCATGCGTACCGTTTACATCCTGTGATAAAAAGTGAACCTGTACTGTATGAACATATTTACAAGACAGAATGTTGAGGACAACTTTAACATTTTTAGACATACAAATACAAAGATATTCTGAAAAAAGCGACAGGAAAAGTTTTCCATCTGTATGTAAAAATACAAACAATCTCCAACATGAAGTTCGCAAAAAGGTAAAAGAAAAGGTTGGTGCCAAAACCTTTCTAATGTTCCTAAATGATGTTGAACAGATACGGTTATATCAGAGTCAAACTTCAGGGCAAACATTAGAACTTTTTATTTTGATACGTTGATTACATGTCAAAATGTCCCTGGATCAAGATTTACTAAGGATTAATACTTTCTGGGAGACAGAAGTAAAAAATATAAGTTTTAGTGTTATACTGTTATAAAAAGTATAATATAATATAGAACAATTATGCTAACCTTTATTCAAACTGCTTAATGCTGAGAGCTTTTAGATTATCGTACATCAAACTTTATGTTATTTTTTAACAGCTGCTGTTTAAATGTTAATAAATCCAGAATGATGTCAGAAACTCAGCAGGAACACGACCCATTTAAAGCTGACCAGGTTTCTGCTCTGAACCGTCGTCCAGGTGAGACTCACCTGCAGCCCAGAGGGTCAGCAGCAGCAGGACTCTGGAGGAAGACGACCCGACCTTCATCATGAAGAGACTCTGGAGCTTCAGCTCTGAAGATGAAGAAACGCTGCTCTGAACCGACCCGACTGCTGATGGAGCAACACCTCTCACCCTCATATACACACACAGAGACACACACCCTGATACGCACACACACATGCACACACCCACACTGCAAACACAACAAGCGCCTCCAGACATGGAAGTCCTTCCACACTGGCAAATGTTATTTATTTAATGTATTATATATTTTATTCATTTTAATTTATTTGTTTTTTTATTTAAACCATTTATGTATTTTTATTTTATTTACTAGGGATGGTTCAGGAAGCAGATGAAGAGCATGCAGCGCCCCCTTCTGGTTTTATATGCAGAGAAAGATTGAAGTGAATGAAACCAGATAATCCAGATGCTTCTGGTTGTAAATGATTCTGCTGGTTGTTCCTCATTATTACTCTTCACTGACTCACCAGTCATATAGAGACATTTAACATTTAATTGTTTTAACAAAATAAACTTTAAATCATCAAAACTCAACAGATTTTCTCACTGCTTTCTGAAGCCACTGATGGCGTCACACATAAACATCGAGCTGCGGGTCAAAGGTCAGCTACCTGAGCTTCCAGGTTTCAGAGGTCAGGCTGCCGACCAACAGAGGCTGAATGTCAGCTTCTGGACCGCATCGCGGAAAGGTGAGTCCAGGTGAGACCAGGTGAGTCCAGGTGAGACCAGGTGAGTCCAGGTGCAGCTCTGTTCACAAACCATCCAGAGTCTAAAAGTAGCTCACAGTGACATCAGCTGAAGCCAGAAATAAATCGGTGAATGTGGAGCTCGATTGGGGAAGATGGAGGACAGGAAGCAGAGACAGCAGCTCCGTCTGCCTTTATGTTAGGCGATGAGGTGACCTCGCTGATCAATTACCAGTCTCTTCATTGATCAGTGATCAGACTGCAGTTCTTGGCTGAACTCTCCGTCAACAGTCATGATGATGACGTCAGTTCCTCCATGGCGGTGAACTGCATTCCCTTTGCTGCCATCTAGTGGACAGAAGTAGAACAGAAATGGTGGTTTCTAGTTTAACTGATTCTACTCAGAAATGTTTCCTTATATTTTTATTTCAGTTTAAATATTTTCTTTCGCTCCATTAAAAGCTGGAGAACATAATGAATCTACATGCAGGAAACGCTTCATTTTCCATAAACTCCCCTAATAAACTGATCTGATATTTCTAGTTAAAGTTTCAATCATAAGACAACTTTTTCCTTAACTCTTTTGCGTGCGAGAACTGAGGCAAACATAGAGGACTATGGCAAATGACAAGTTTTACGTGTGTGGGGTCGGTTGGACCCCATTTCTACATACAAGGGTTAAAACAGATCCGATCCCAGTTTAACTGAACCTGCAGAGTCCCAGTCCTGCAGCGGCTCCAAGTCCTCCGAGTCTCCTTCAGTCTAAAACCTGAAATATCCAACAGATTGAATAAACCTTCGGCCTTCAGGAGGATTTCTGCGCTTTATTAAAACAACATGTTGATATTTTTGCTCTAATATTGTCTCCGTCATTCCCGCTCTGGGAGCTTCTGGAAATGTTGTGAATTCATCGGGCTTTTCTGTCACTTTCTGACATTTTCTCCGAGCGACCAGAAGCTGGGAGAAACTTCTAGCGGGTGACGTCATGACGCACGCGCTCTGTGATTGGCCGAAGGCTGAAGAAGCGACGAGAAGTGAGTGAGGGGGTATAAAGAGCGGTGAGGGTAAAGCTGGGGCAGTTAGAGATTCAGAGACCTTTAGAGAGCATCAGAAGATCCAGCAGAGGAGAAAGAAGCATCACAGCGCTCTGCGCAGGAAACTCTGGACGACAGTAAGTTCTCACTTTTCTTCTTCTCTGCTCCCGCAGTAACTACAGTCGGAATTCATGCTCTTATTAACAGGTGGAGGGACAGAGAAACGCACTTTGTAGAGTGTAGTCAAAGACAGAAACATGCCGAACAGATTTGTGGAGCAAATGATGTTTGAACATCGCTGAATGCAGCTTTACAGAAGCGTCGGATTGGAGCAAAACCTGCTACAAAGTCCAGTAAAACCCTAAAGTGTAGTGTACTGCTGTACTGAATATGAAGTGTTTCTGAGAGGGAATAATCCTCCTTCTCCTCCTGTGTGTCTCTGCTGGTTTAGGCCTGAAAGGAAACCCAGCCAAGATGTGTGCAGCTAAAAACGTGGCCATCGGCATCGACCTGGGCACCACCTACTCCTGCGTGGGGGTTTTCCAGCACGGAAAAGTGGAAATCGTCGCCAACGACCAGGGCAACAGGACCACCCCCAGCTACGTGGCCTTCACCGACACCGAGAGGCTGATCGGGGACGCGGCCAAGAACCAGGTGGCCCTGAACCCCAGCAACACGGTGTTTGATGCCAAGAGGCTGATCGGCAGAAAGTTTGAAGAGCCGGTGGTGCAGGCCGACATGAAGCACTGGCCCTTCAAGGTGCTTTCAGAAGGAGGCAGACCCAAAATTCAGGTGGAGTACAAAGGGGAGAACAAAGCCTTCTTCCCCGAAGAGATCTCCTCCATGGTTCTGGTGAAGATGAAGGAGATCGCCGAGGCCTACCTGGGCCACAAGGTGTCCAACGCCGTGGTCACGGTCCCCGCCTACTTCAACGACTCCCAGCGACAGGCCACCAAAGACGCAGGCGTCATCGCGGGACTCAACGTCCTGAGGATCATCAACGAGCCCACGGCGGCCGCCATCGCGTACGGTCTGGACAAAGGCAAGTCGGGAGAGAGAAACGTCCTGATCTTTGACCTGGGCGGAGGCACCTTCGACGTGTCCGTCCTGACCATCGAGGACGGCATCTTTGAGGTGAAGGCCACGGCCGGAGACACTCACCTGGGAGGAGAGGACTTTGACAACCGCATGGTCAACCACTTTGTGGAGGAATTCAAGAGGAAACACAAGAAGGACATCAGCCAGAACAAGAGAGCCTTGAGGAGGCTGCGCACAGCTTGCGAGAGGGCCAAGAGGACCCTGTCCTCCAGCTCCCAGGCCAGCATCGAGATCGACTCTCTGTTCGAGGGCGTGGACCTGTACACCTCCATCACCAGGGCTCGCTTTGAGGAGCTGTGCTCCGACCTGTTCAGGGGAACCTTGGAGCCCGTGGAGAAGGCCCTGAGGGACGCCAAGATGGACAAGGGCCAGATCCACGACGTGGTCCTGGTGGGAGGCTCCACCCGAATCCCCAAGATCCAGAAGCTGCTGCAGGACTTCTTCAACGGCCGGGAGCTGAACAAGAGCATCAACCCGGACGAGGCGGTGGCTTACGGCGCCGCCGTCCAGGCAGCCATCCTGACGGGCGACACGTCGGGGAACGTCCAGGACCTGCTGCTGCTGGACGTGGCTCCTCTGTCCCTGGGGATCGAGACGGCCGGAGGAGTGATGACGGCCCTGATCAAACGCAACACCACCGTCCCCACCAAGCAGACCCAGGTGTTCAGCACCTACTCCGACAACCAGCCCGGGGTCCTGATCCAGGTCTACGAAGGGGAGAGGGCCATGACCAAGGACAACAATCTGCTGGGCAGGTTTGAGCTGACGGGAATCCCGCCCGCTCCACGAGGGGTCCCCCAGATCGAGGTCACCTTCGACGTGGACGCCAACGGCATCCTGAACGTGTCCGCGGTGGACAAAAGCACCGGCAAAGAGAACAAGATCACCATCACCAACGACAAGGGCCGACTGAGCAAAGAGGAGATCGAGAGGATGGTGCAGGACGCCGAGAAGTACAAAGCCGAGGACGAGCTGCAGAGGGACAAGATAGCTGCCAAGAACTCCTTGGAGTCCTACGCTTTCACCATGAAGAGCAGCGTGGAGGACGAGAGCTTGAAGGGCAAGATCAGCCAGGAGGACAAGAAGAAGGTGGTGGACAAGTGCAAGGAGACCATCAGCTGGCTGGAGAACAACCAGCTGGCTGAGAAAGACGAGTACCAACACCAGCAGAAGGAGCTGGAGAAGGTGTGCAACCCCATCATCAGTAAGTTGTACCAGGGAGGGAGGCCCACTGGGAGCTGCAGAGAGCAGGCAGGAGCCCACAGCCAGGGGCCCACTGTGGAGGAGGTGGACTGAAGGACGACTGGAGGTTTAATATTGTAAAAGTCAAAACTGTTTACCTTGTTCTGTTCATGAGACTTGAATATATTTTTGCTCTTTGCTTTTTTTTCTATTGCTTTATGTTAATAAACTGATTGAATGTCATTTGTCTGGTGTCTTTGCTTCCAGAAGTTAAGGTTTTCTAAATGTTAGTTTAGATTGATCTCCAGGTTTCACTGGAGCGGTTCAGAGTGTGAAGCAGCCGGATGGGGATCAGTGGAGACCGACGGGAAGAGCCGTTGGTTCTCTGGAGGAGCTGACCGCTGGCCGGGCAGAGGGAGGTCTCCCTGGCCGACCCGACCCGGATTGGCTGGGGGGTACAATGAGAACAATCCAGCAATATCCAAAATCACCAGCAGGTGTCACTGTTTTGTTTTCCACCAGGAACATTTCTTTGTGAGATGCCTGGCATTTCAGGAGAGGACAGGCGGTTATGTCTATGGTTACATCAACCAGTCCGCAGCAGCAGGGAGGGTTCCTAATGAACACCTCTCACCAAGCAAACAATTCATCTGTGATTTCCGGTTCACCTGTCTAATATCCTGGTACAAGATTCATGACCATCTGCTATAAAAAGGTTCATAGAAAAAAAAAGATATGGATTGTGGTGTAATGAAAGCCTAATGTTTTTCAGAAGAAGTGAGGTAATTCTAATAATCGATCCCAGATGTTCAGATGTTTCCCGGGCGGTCACACACGGCTGCTCTGTGGAAGTGCGTGATTTCCCGCAGCTTGCCTCACAGCATCACCATATTCATAATCATCTTCATCTCTATGTAGGTCGGTTTATTTTTGAAGCGGAAGTCTCACCGGAAGTGGAGCTGGTGCTGCTCCCGCCCCAGCAGCCCGTGCCATCTTGTGTTTAGCAGGAACAAAAAACGGGAGGAGGAACGGGTCCAGATGGAGGATGGGGTGCGGGTTCTAGGCCCACTCTAGGCCGGTTCGGTGGGTCAGTATGTCCGGACGGGAATCTTTGCAAGTAAACATCAATCACACCCCGCGGAGCAGCTGATGGCATCGTTAGCCTGCCAGCTAACGCGCTAAGCTATTAGCTCAGGAGCGGCGCAGACCGGAGCTCCGGAGCGGACCGTTAGAGACCCGCAGACCCTCCTAGAGCCAGCGGCTGGACCGCAGCGTCTCCCCAAAACCCAGAAGAACCGGGATGGACATGAACCAGGAGTTCTGCTGAGGGGAAACCCGCGATATGAGGATCGAGGCTGGGCGCTAGCTTTGCTGCTAACCGTTAGTTTTTCGGTCCAGAGAAGAACCTCAAGAAGCTGCGGTGAGTTCGGCCACGTCCGGGTCCGAACCTGGGGGCCAGTAGGGTCAAAATATGGGGCCAACCTGGGGGCCAGTAAGGCCAGCAGGGTCTCCAGTACAGAAGGTTTCTCAGCAGCCTAAATCTGATTTCTTCTTCCTACAGCTTCCTTAAATGTTTCCGAACCACTGAAGTACGACGGTTCCTTCAGTTAAACCCGGTTTATCTGTGAGATTAGGCTCATAAAGATTAGTTGCATTTTAAAATATATTATGATCCTCTGAATAAAAGTAGTTGGTGTCAGATGTTAAAAGCTTACTGTTCCTAAAAACAGATATCCTGTTCATATCAATAAATTATTATTGATTTTATATTATTAGTCCCTGAGGTTCACAGGAACAGATTACTGAGCCAAGTGGGAATATTATGACCATGAACATGGAAGCTCAGGCTGTTTTTATGTAGTTTTTATTTCTTTCGTCTTCAGTGAGTCAGAGCAGCTTCACCAAACTGCTGCTCTATTGTTGCTGACCCGGTTCTGCAGGTTTAGGTTTTATTATTATTATTCAGATGCTTGGTGCTGAAGCTGGTTGTTGTGCTGTTTTAACCCTTCCTGACCTTTCCTCGTCGCTGTAGATGGCTTTAAACTAGATGTTGACCGCTCTCTTGGCATATTATTAGCAATGGTGGTGGGCAACATTTACTGGTTGCCCGGCGTTTTTCCTTTCCCATTCCTTAAAATTCTTAGTTTTTAAAAAGCAGTGTAATAATTTTCTGCAGTCAGCGCAGACGCTGCTTTCCAAAGGTCGTCTGCAGCTGCAAACGTCACCAAGGTTCGGAGACGGCGGGATGCGGCTGCGCTCCAGTCCTTTACATCACTTTTTACTCTCAGCCTGTTGTCTGTGGGTGAAGACAAAAGCAAGTTAAGTTTTCAGAAATGTGATAGAAACTACTGAACTTCAAACCGGCTGTGACCTGATATGTTAAAGGAGAGCAAAACCAAGATGGGAGACTCCAGGCCTGCTGCTTAAGGTTCGTTGCTGCTGGATGCTGCGTTGATTCTGCAGCTCTTTCTTTGGATCCGTCCTCTGTCTGCGATCCAAACTCTTATTCTTGTAGAGATGATGAATTTCTATTGTTAGCTTAGCGATCATTCTCAGCAGGCGGTTCATGTGACCGGCTTCCCCATCACTCTGGAGCTGCTTCCTCTTTGGGATTTCCTGCTGCGGGCGGCCCAGACAGGAAGTGAAGGAGTTTCTCCAGGATGTGAAGGGTTAACATGGCTGCTGTCAAAGCCGCAGCTCGCTGGTTCCCATCATCGTTACTGGAACCAGGTCTTCAGTTGAATTGGAGGCTGCAGAGCTTAAAAACACTAAAGTCGATGTTGAAACTGGATGCAGTCTACCTGTGCCTCTTACCTGAGCTACGCTCCTATTGGCTGACAGGCTGGAGCTCAGAGAGGAGGAGAGACCACGTTTAACAGAAGAGAGTCATGAAAATCCTTATTGGTCCATTCATAAAAACATCCATCCCAAACAGACGTGACACGTTGTCATTCAGAGCATCTTCAGCCATGTGGGTCCAGCAGCAGTCAGTCTACCTGCGACTCTGAACAGTTCCTCTGACTGAAGACTGTTTTTGTATGTTGTCTCATGCTAACATGCTAACAACTGAATATCAGCTAATCCAACTCCTTCGCTTTTGCTCCTTCTGTTTAATCTGTCTGGTTGTGCATTAGAGAAAGTAGGAGTAGGGGAAGAGAACTTCCTGTGGGGCATAGGGTCAAAGTTCAGGGATTATTTGAGCCTCTGAGATGCTAGTCAGCTCGTCTCAGTTATAAAGACTATTCCTTGTTGCCATGGTTACGCATCATAACTATCAGAAAGTTAAATGGAGCGCTGCTGGAGGACAGCTGCACTCCGTTTATGGCACTAAAGATGGCCGCCGTCTCTGGATGGATTTCAGGAAAGACGCTGGTAAACAGGAAGCCCAGCTAACGGCAACGGCCGTCTGTGGAGCATTGACTGCAGCTTCTGACCCGGTTCTAACCTGGTTCTGTTGGCTGCAGCTTCTGGCCCGAGTCATAATGGGGACCAGGAGTGGTGGGTTGGGATGTGATGCGTTCACTGACTCAGGCTGCTTTCAGTTCATTATCATTTTCAGCCATTATTTATTTTTAGCGTCTGCTTTCTTCTTATTCTACTGAAGTCGCTTGTCTCACGTTGATGATGTAACAGTCAGGTAAGTGCGACGCGGCTGTTCTGCCGAGACTGAGGTTTTCCGGGGACCGGTGGGCGTGCAGCAACACGTCCAGGATCAACCGTCTCCGTCCTTGTGGCCATGGAAACCTGGTCTTTATCTCTGCAAGAACTGATTTATGTTCGGGATGAAAACCCGGTTCCAGGTCCAGACCAGATCCAGGTTCTGATCAGTCCTGCTTCAGTTCCTCCAGATTTTCCAACCAAGCAGAAAAACTTTCAGTTCTGGAGACGAAGCAGGGACACCAACACCTGGCTGTCCCTGCATCGTCCCCACTGTCCTCTAATGTCCTCTGCTGTCCCCTGTCCCATCCCCAGGTGCAGCCATGCCCTCCAGTGCGCGTGCGGGGAGCCTCAAGGACCCCGATGTGGCCGATCTGTTCTGCAGAGACGATCCAGAGAAGCTCTTCACCGACCTGAGGGAGATCGGACATGGCAGCTTCGGGGCCGTCTACTTCGTGAGTACTCTGGTTCTGGAGCGACAGCAGAACCGGAACCCACAGAATCGTTCGGCTGCTGAGGACCGGTTCCTGAACGCGACGCCGCAGAACTCCATGTAGAACCAGGACTGGAGTGGTTTGGATCAGGACAAGCTCCTCCTCTCAGCCTGAATCTGACAGCACTCAGACGGAGCAGAGGAGGCCTGAAAGTGTGTGTGTGTGTGTGTGTGTGTGTGTGTGTGTGTGTGTGTGTGTGAGAGCTGGTCCTGAGTGGGAGGCAGACGTTCTCTTCCACGCTGCTGTGAGATGCTGCTGAGTGTGTCAGAGCCTCTGCAGAAACAGCAAACATCCTGTAGCGTGCACACACACACACACACACACACACTAAACCGAGGTAAATCAGTTTGCTGATGTGTTTCCCTGAAACCTGTCAGAAAGTCTCCTGTTGGCCTCCATCTCGGCAGCCATGATGATTTATTCAGTTTCATCTTGATTGGACGTTTCCATGGAAACTACACCTCATCATATACGTTGTAAAACCATGGGCGTAAATCCCGGGGGGGTCGAGAGGGTCTGGACCCCCCCAATCTGGGAAAAGTCTATAATTTCCCCCCCAAAGAAATCATGAAGGAAACCCTTGTATTTAAGCAATATCAATATGAAAAGGCAAAAGAAAGAGGGAAAAAAATGAATTTTTAGTCCCCCCCCATTATTAGAACAATGGTTCAGTCCAAAGTGTAGGAGGAGCAACAGCAGCTGAATGGTACCGGCTCCTTAGAGCCGCTGAAGAGAGGAGCTAGCTGCTAGCTGTTAGCTGTTAGCTGAGGCTCTGCAGCACTAACATAAACCCTCCAGTAAGTTGATTCTTAAAGCAAAATACATGAAACACATTTTATTTCCTTTCACTGGTCAATAGGAAGAAACACATTAACAATAAAAATCAGACTGCAGTTTGTTATTTCATTACTTTGGCTGAATCCTGATAAACTGCCTCCTTATGCCTTAAATCAAAACTAGCTAAACTGCTACATTGCTTTGATAGACTTGGTTCTTTTTGTTAAAGGCAGCAAATATCTAATTACATTTAGCCCTTTAAGTCTTACATCAATAAGAAGAGATTGAAACTGGAGCGTCTTAGCGTTAGCATTAGCCCACAGCAGAGGGGCTGCTGCAGAGCAGCTGGCAGTAAAAAAAGAAACTATGCCTTTATTTCTTACCATCTTCAACATGGAGCCTTTAAAACCACACAATAAAATCTGGACATGTTTCCATAAAATCCCTGGTGTTTGAACATTAAGTTGAAGTTATGATGGGAAAACCAGGAAAGATAAGATATTCCTTTATTAATCCCACAGTGGGGAAATTGACATTGTTACCGCAGTACAGAGGACAGAGCAGAACCAATATAAAAATCTATATGTACAAAAAATACAAGTGAATATAGAAATATTGAAACAGGTTTAAAAATCAAGCAACTTAACGAGTTATAATTTAAATAACCCATCACTTGTATTGAGAGCCTGGTTCCGGTTCTGGTCCCGGTGCCGGTCGCTCCCCCTGATTGGACGTTTGTTCTTCGTGTGTGTCCAGGCGCGTGACGGACGCAGCAATGAGGTGGTGGCCATTAAGAAGATGTCCTACAGTGGCAAGCAGACCAATGAGGTAACAGCTCCGCCCCCATCTGATGTCATACGTTCCTGAGGCTGTGGCTCCGCCCACCAGGGTGCTCTGAGCTCATTTCCTGTCTGCCAGTAATTGCAGCATGTTGTGATGTGCAGAAATGGCAGGACATCATCAAGGAGGTGAAGTTCCTACAGAAGCTGCGTCACCCCAACACCATCGAGTACCTGGGCTGCTACCTGAAGGAGCACACGGCATGGGTAGGTACCGGCGGCCATGTTTCCGCCTCCTCCGGGTCGGTCCCTGCTAACTGTCTGTCTGTCCCTCAGCTGGTGATGGAGTACTGCCTTGGCTCAGCCTCTGACCTCCTGGAAGGTCAGTTGAGCTCTGCGTGTCAGCCATCTTGTCTTCCTGCTGGGTCTCACCTTGTTTCTGTCCTCAGTCCACAAGAAACCGCTCCAGGAGGTGGAGATCGCCGCCATCACCCACGGAGCGCTGCAGGGTCTGGCTTACCTGCACTCTCACAACTTGATCCACAGGTACAGATGCTGCCTAGCTCCGCTAGAACTGTTAGTGCCATTAGCTGGTCCTGTGAGCTCTGTTGGCTTGTTAGCTACATTAGCTCCATTAGCACCAGTTGCTTCAGTCTCACCTGTTGAGATGTTCCTCAGGTGATGAGATTCAGGCTGTTCTTTGCAGCTGATTGGTGGAAGTTTGGTCCAGAGCCATTCCAGAATCTGTGGTTGTGGTCGGACCCCTGGCTGCTGCAGTGGGTCAGGCCTCAGATCCTATCCTAGCAGAATCCTTGACTAATATTTATTACAAAAGCTGTCTGTTAAACATCAATGCTTTTTGTTGCATTTTCCATTGAAAGAAAATTTTGTCAGCAATAATTTTACCCTTATTACAAATAATCGGTTGCATCACATCAGTCCAAGGGCCATAAATGGCCCCCGAACCGCACTGTGGACACCCCCGATTTGAGCTGTTTGTGCTGTGAATGTGTCCTGGAATATGAAACTCATCATAATAACTTAATGGAAGCAGATTTTTCTCCTTTTTTGTGGACATTATTTACAGTCAGCACAACATCTGGCTTTTATTGGGGGATTTCTCTGCTTGGTCCAAATCTGCTCCAATCCTCCTCAGGAGGAGCCGCACTGCTCACTGCCACTGGCTGCCAGCGGTGCTTTGACTGGGCCGTTTGTTACCTGATCGTTCTGATGGCGTAACCACCAAGGAACGGCGTGAACCGGTCTGACGGGTTCTGCTGCAGGAACCAATCAGGGGAGGGCTGCTCGCCCAGCTTCACCCTGTCTCTCTAACAGGAAGAACAACAGCTTGCTGCGGTTCTGTGGCGGACTCAGAACGGGTCGGACTGCCTGGTTCTCTAACCGTCTGAAAATCAAAAAACTGACTCGCAGCCATCAGAGCTTCTCCGAACCGTTTACATCCTGGGAATACGGCGCATCAAACCAGGCAAGTTCAGGCGCCGTCTGCAGAACCCTGAGCAAGAACAGAAATGCCACCATGCGCTGCTCATGTGACGGATTCCAACACAAAGTGGTTCTAAAGTGCAAAGCTGTGATCAGACGTTAATATTCCTGAACCGATCTCTTCAAAAGGTTCCCGGGTTTCCAGAGATTCAGTTCCAGAAACACCAGCTGACGTCGAAGTAAATCTGTTTATCTGCTGCCTTTCGGCTATTATCAGTGCAGTTTGACATCGTCCTTCTAAAACCCAGACCATGGCCAGCTTACCGATCCGGTTCTGGTTGCCTTCAGTCTTTCCTGCGTGGCGAGTCAGGAAGAACGTTTTGGGGTTGGCGGGGAGCGATGCATTCATTCCCCGGATGCCAGATAAACGACATCAATGAATTTGGTGCAGAAAGTTTATTTTACGAGCAGCGAAGGCTGCAGTGGAGCCGATGCTTCGCTCGTCCTGGTACCAGGGCGGTTCTGGCTGGGCTCACTCTGTCTGTGGTCAGAACCTCTGACATCATCCACCACCATTTGATGTCCATCCTGGTTCTGGTTCTGGTTGGGTTCTGGAGGATCCCTGCAGTCCGTCTCTAACAGGTCAGTCTGTGTTTCAGGGACGTGAAGGCCGGGAACATCCTGCTGACGGAACCGGGTCAGGTCAAGCTGGGCGACTTCGGGTCGGCCTCCATCGTGTCTCCGGCCAACTCCTTCGTCGGAACGCCGTACTGGTGAGCTCTGACCATCCGGTCGCGTTCTGACCCAAACTGGTCGTGAAGTGTTGTGCCGGCCTGACAGGTCGGTTCCGTCTGACCCAGTCTGTGTTGCAGGATGGCTCCAGAGGTGATCCTGGCCATGGACGAGGGTCAGTACGACGGGAAGGTGGACGTCTGGTCGCTCGGCATCACCGGCATTGAGCTGGGTGGGTAAAACCCGACCCGGTGCCCACCTGGACGGAACCATCGGGTCCTAACGCGTCTCCGCTCTGTCCTCAGCTGAGAGGAAGCCGCCGCTCTTCAACATGAACGCCATGAGCGCCTTGTACCAGATCGCCCAGAACGAGAGCCCAGTGCTGCAGTCCAACCACTGGTGAGACGCCGTCTGTCCAGCTCTCTGTCTGTCCAGCTCTCTGTCTGTCCAGCTCTCTGTCTGTCCNTCTGGTGTCTTTGCTTTCACCTTTTTCTCACCTTGATGTTTTTCTTCCTGTTTCTAAATATAATTTGCATCTGAATGTATTTTTCATCTTAAAGGTGAGAAAAACTATTCCAGATTGTTTATTGTTGTGAAATATGTTTTAAACACTAATTTCAGATGTTCTTGAGTCTTCATCATGATCACAATTGAGCTGTAAAAACTTTGAGTTATGATCATTAAATTTGTAAATATTTTACAGTGTAAATATGTTTTTTCTTTGCTGGACAGTAAAATAAAAGATTAAACCAAATTTTCTGATCAATGGTTTTATTTTCTGGGGTTCTGGTCAAAGTAAAACAAACGAAACCAGCTTCATATTTTGTCCACATCTAAACTCCTGAGAATCTGAAGAACATTTCTTCACTAAATGCTGAGAAGATGAGACTTATGGTTCCAGGCCTTTATTAGTTTTTAACTCTTAAGTATATCAACCCTTCCAGATGCATTGAAAAATATAAAGAGTAAAGTAAAAAGTATGGGGGGAGGAAAAAAAGAACCAAAGAAACACACTTATCTAATTTAAAACAAATTAGGGACACGAAACTAACAAACATTTATTATGTTGTAAAACTAAAGTTAATCAGATAAAATAGGACAATAGACACAGGTTGATTACTTCGTGAGCAAAGTTTCAATGCTGGAGCTGCGAGTTCAAACAGGACCGAGCTTCCTGTAAATATCGCGAGAAAGGAAGCAGAGCGAGAAGACGGGTCCAGTCAAGACATAGCGATATTCATATTTAGCAACAACAGCGACAACAGGCTCTGCGGACGATGGTGTTGTTGTTGCGTTAACAGGCTGGATGCCGGTATGTGCGGCCGCCTCAGCCCCAGATGAAACGCCTGGTTGGGATGAACAGGTACGGCTCAGTCGCTCTTTTAGTAGCAGCTAGTTAGCGGGTTAGCAGGTAGCCGTTAGCTCGGAGCTAATGTTTGGCGTTAGCTGCAGGTTTCTGATTCAGTCCGCGGATTATTTTCCGCACCGCCAACATGAAACCCGACGGAGCAGCTAAAATCCCGCCGTGGGTGTGACTCCAGCGGGCAACAAGCGGCAGGTTGGAGGGGAGAGCGGGCAGCTATTGTTAGCAGGCTAATGGGCTGGATGATCGCTGCTTTTAGAGCCACTAACCTGCAGTAGCTCTGATTTCTCAGCAGCCTCTGGTGCTGGACTCAGAGGTTATTCAGCTGCCCCGGTTCACAGTAACCGTTTGCAGGTGAAATTAGATCCATTTGGAAAAATCTGGAAAGATCTTCATTTAATGACCCACTTAAAGAGACATTTTCAATTCAGTTTATTTAGATATCACTAATTCACAACACAAGTTCTCTGGAGGCTCAAAAATAATTCCAGTCCAGTCATTCCAGCTGATTCTACTGGTCAAGCAGTGCAGTTCCAGTGAGTCATACTGGTTTAAAAAGTTTTTGCATTCACTCCCCCTGGACAAGCACAGAGTGACAATGGACAGGAAAAGCTCCCCTTTAACAGGAAGAAACCTCCAACGGAACCAGAACCTGTACAAGTGAAGTGGCTACTTTCTGCTACTTGCACTGTTCCTGAAGTTACAGAAAAACATCCTGGTGAGAAAGAACACAGAGGCTGTTAACTTCCTAATAAAACATTTAACTTGGGGATAATTGATAGAGATCAGGTAAATGATGCTGGTGGCAGGTTATTTAAAGGGCCGTCAGTTTTTAGGTAATCACCTAAAAACAGCTGCTGATTTTAATCTGACAAAAACAGCCTGAATATTCATGCAAGCAGTATACTCTAATCACACTTTGTACTCATGTGAGTGCAGCGGACATCTTGGATGTAACATTTCAGGCAACATGCATTCAGTCTCTGCTACGTATGCAATGTATCCGATCAGCTGCTCTGGCTTACCGACCCGATCCAAGTGGCCAGTACCGCCGGGTGGTTTGTATTTTATGTCGAGCATATCATCAGTTTCCTGGTCTTCATGCTGCTGCACGACTGGTGCCGACCCGACTGGTGGCGACCTGAGTAGTGCCGACCCGAGTAGTGGCAACCCGTCTAGTGCCGACCCGACTGGTGGCGACCCGAGTAGTGCCGACCCGAATAGTGGCAACCCGTCTAGTGCCGACCCGACTGGTGGCGACCCGACTGGTGGCGACCCGACTGGTGGCGACCCGACTGGTGGCGACCCGACTGGTGGCGAACGTGTGCAGAGCTTCCTGTTGACCCGTCCTCTGTGTCCTGCAGCTTGCGGCCTCGGCTCTCTGGGCGTCTGTCAGCTGATGAAGGCGAGCCGGCTTGGTGAGGTCAGGCGCTGCAGCTGGTTGGAGGAGCTGGCTCTGCTGCAGCAGCGGAGGATGTGAGCAGCAGCGAGCCGCGGCGCTGCGATCGGCTGCGATCGGTTGCGATCGGTTCCAGGCTGTGGACGAGCTGCTGCCTATTCTCACTTCCTGTCTCTGCATGTTGAAGCGATTGGACTGAACTGAGTCGCAGACATTTCGCAGGATGAACGGCTCTCTGCTGACTCCGCCCAGCCCGCGGGTCTCTGGCTCCTCCCCCTTGCCCCCCTCGCCCTCTCCGTCGCCGCCGTCGCCCTCCCTGCTGCCGCTGTCCTCCAGGCCGCCCCCCCTGGCGCCCCTGGTGAGCCCGTCGGCCCCGCCGTCCTCCCTGTCCGATACGCCCACGCCGTCCCCCTCGCCGTCCCTCAGCTGGACCGAATTCTGTGAGCTCCATGCGCGTGTCGCTGCCGGAGACTTTGCGCGACATTTCCGGGCGTTTCTCCTGGAGAACCCACACTACAGCGCGGACTCAGCGGCAGCTTTCTGCCGCCGCTTCACCGACCGCTTCGTCCGCCACTTCCAGAGCGAGCTGGAGGGGGCGCTACCTCCCGGCAGCACCGCGGGACGCGACGAGATGATGAGCTGGGCTCCCCCATCCGACGCCACCTCCCTGGAAGAGGAGGCGGTCTCGCCGCTGGCAGGACCCGGGGGCCCGGCGCTGCCCCTTCCCACCGGCGCGGCGCGGGGGCCGACCAGGCCGGCGCCGTCCCGGCTGGTGCTGGAGAACCGCGGCGGCGACCGCTTCCAGGACTCCTACGCCCAGGGCCAAGTTCTGCCACCGTCCTCGTCGTCGTCCTGCTGCTCCTCAGTGGGGGGGAACAACGGGAGGCGGGAGGAGCGCGGTGCCGCGCCGGGCCCCGGGAACGGCGACGCGCCGGCAGAGGAGGAGGAAGACAGCTGGGTTGGAGCGGCTTCGGCCGGCGACGGCGCAGAGCGCGACGAGTCCTCTGAGGCGGATCACACTTTTCATCTCCCTCCCTCCTCCGTCACTCCTCCGCCCGACTCCAAAGGCAACGGCACGCCCAACTCCTCCAAGAACAAGCTGAAGAAGCGCTTCTCGCTGCGCAGCGTGGGGCGCAGCGTGCGCGGCAGCGTGCGCGGCATCCTGCACTGGAGGAGCGCCTCCAGCGACGCGGCGCAGAGCCCGCTGCCCTCCAGCTACAGCTACACCCTGGGCGTCCAGGACTCCGCCGCCACCAAGAGAAGTGCCGCCACGCAGCCCCCCACGCCCACCTCCTCCATGCCTGTGTCCCTGTCCATGCCCCTCTCCCTCCCTCACTCCTCCTCCTCCCTGCCGCCCTCGTCCTCCAGCAGCGCCACCTCGCTGTCTCTCTCCGAGGCGGCGCGCGACCGCCGGCGGAGCAACGGCGAGGGAGGCGAGAAGGACAAGTGGAGCCACCGGCTGGAGAAACTCAGGCTGTCGCGCTCGCCACCGCCCAACTTCACCCAGAACCCCCACCCCGGCTCAAACTCGCTGCCCCCCAGCAGCGCCGCCGCCCTGGGCCCCCCCAGGAAGGTGGGCCGGCTGGTGCGGGAGGGAGGGGTGAGCGTCAGCTCCTCCAGCGACGAGCTGGGCGGGAGCCACGGCTTCTCCGGCTTCTCCTTCGGACTGCTGCATCACGGCGCAGAGAGCAACAGCACGGCGCCGGGGGCCCAGCCGGGGGCCCAGGCCGCCCCGGTGCTGTCCCTGGCCAGCGGGGGCACCGTCCCCTGGAGGGGGGGCCGCTGGCACAAATGTCGTTTGGTCCTGAGAGAGAGAGACCGAGAAGGGGGCGAGCGAGGAGAGGAGTACTACCTGGAGTTCTTCATCCCACCAAAGGTCAGTGCAATCGGCTCAGAACCACTAGATCACATGTGTCAAACTCGAGGTCCGTGGGCCCAGTTTGGCCCGCCTTAGATCAACAAACCCCAAAACTCTTTTGCGCTTAAAGTTTATTGCAGATTTTTCTCAAAAATTGCCAAAAACTTTCTTACTTGTCCTAAACGGCTGCCTCAGCCTCACCTGATGTCAGATTATAGTTCATGATCTTTACAGTGAGTCAAAACGTCACATTTACCATCATAATTAAGAGCAAATGTTGCAGATATTTAGTACCACAAACATTTTGATTCAAAAAAGAATCAAGAAATCCTGACTGAGACGATGTTCAACAATATTTAATTTTAATAATTCATTGGTATTTTAACAGTTTGTGAACTGGTTTTATCAAAACATTCTGCTGCAACCGGCCCTTTAAGAGCCAACAACAGGGACGCTTAAAAAAAGTAATTCCCCCCAATTATCAGTTTTTCTAAAAATAAAATCGAGCTACGCTTAGACTGGCGGGGGGCCCTAGTAAAGCATGGCGGGCTGCCAGGCTTATAATACACTGGGGGAAACCCTGCAGTAGATGGTATTGGGTCAGAACCAGAACCTTTGTGTGTTCCAGGCCTCCAAGGCCCGGCTGACCGTTCCCTGCTTCTCCATCGTGGACGTGAGGAGCACCACGGCGCTGGAGGTCCCGGATAAGGAGAACACCTTCCTGCTGCAGGTCCAGATTTTTCTCTATAAGTACTCCCACCCAAACGGGCCGGGCCTGGTTCTGATCCGAGCTGCCCTGTTTCTGCTCCTCTGCAGC